TAGACGCCGTAACAGGGACGGAAAGCGAGCCCCCAGGCGGGGCTGCAAGCACAACACGCGGGCGGCGGGGAGGGCTTAAGAGAGGGGCGAAGCGGCCGCGGCGGAGGGGAGGGTCTCAGCTTGCCTCGCCTTCCCTCTTACGGCAGCCCCTTCGGGCGCCGCCTCTAGACTTCCAGCGCTGCCTCCCAGCGCCGACTGGAACTTCAGCCGCCGCGGAGCATGGAGCGCTTCTCGGGCCACCGCGCTCTGGTGACGGGCGCGGGCAAAGGTACCGTCCGCGGAGTCGCGCCGCTGGAGCAACACTGGGCGTTTCGGGGACGCGCCCCGCCGTATTCGTGCCTGTGGACAATGTTGTGCTCCCCTTTGCAGGGATCGGCAGGGCCGTAGCAGTACGGTTGAGCCACGCGGGGGCTCGGGTAGTGGCGGTGAGCCGGACCCCGACGGATCTCGAGAGCCTACAAAAAGAGGTAGAGGCAGCGTGACTCCTTCCCGCTCAGCCTGCGCCCATTTGTGGAGCTTCTCTGGCTTCTGCGCAGCCCCACCTGCCCTTTTCTCTAGACTAAGGGAGATCCTCTCTTCCCGGAGGGTCAGGCGGGAGGCAGAGAAAAGCCTTCAGAGACGTCCCCGTTTCACGTACTTGCTGGGATTGAGGAACAAACACAGAGCGGCCCCATCTTTACCAGTCTGTACTGAAAGACAGAAGAGCGAACTAACTTCCACCCTCTCTTCTGCCTCCAGACAAAATGACTTGACCTAATCTGGAAATGCCTGGGTTTCATAGCTTAAGATGTTGTGCCTGGACCACCATGGGCCTGCTAGAGGGTGTCATTCAAAAGCTACTGCTAATCAGATAGCCACACGCACACTGTGTCCACAGAACGGCACTGATTTAAAATAAGCCATTTACTGAATTTCTCATCATTTTCTCTATACAGTATGCAAGGTTTAGAAGTCTTGCTGGGGGCGGGGGGAACAGTGGCAACAGGCAACAAGCTTCTCTTTCTCACAGAATTGCCATGAAAGGGGAAGTTGTACTTTGCAGCAACTGAACTCCTATGCCATTTGTGGGACATTCTTCACACATGGTTGCATGAAACATGTTTTGAGGGTATCTTTTTATATTATGGGTAATTATCGCAGAATACAGAAGATTCTTACTAGAGTTGCAGATCTCCAAAACACTCCTTGAGTACCAAAACCATAACCGGAACTTTGTGTGGAAATATCCATGCAGTTCAAGCTTAATGAAGGAACTACATGTCCTGCACCCTTTCTTTGAAATCACGTACACTGTCCTGATAAAGTTTCTTTCATATACTTTGGAAGAAAAGTAACCTGAAAACTAACAATCCCAGCTCCCTTGCCTTACAAGCAGCTTCATCCCTGTCTGTCTTGATGTTGCTTCTCTCCTCAGTGCCCAGGTATCCAGACTCTGTGTGTTGACCTTGGAGACTGGGAGGCTACAGAGGCTGCATTAAGCACAGTGGAAGATATTGATCTGTTAGTGAATAATGCTGCTGTAGCAGTTCTGCAGCCATTCCTAGAGGTGACTAAGGAGGCCTTTGACAGGTAATCCATGACCCAGGCCAAAGAGATGTAAAGGAATATTTAAAGAAAATAGGTCCCACAGTTAGTACTAGGTAACTAAAGGGAGATGTGGAAATTTGGTTTTAGGAGCCACTGTTGTAGGTTCTAATTTTCAACCCTAGCAGCCTTTTCCATTCCACTTTGAAGGGTAAATACAATAACGTGTGCTCCTAGATTGAAAACTGAGCTTCAGTTGTTAGTTTGCTTTAGTTTGCAAAACAGCTGTTTTCTTTGTCCTTGATGAAAAAAGTGCAGCCTTGTTTGTTTCAGCAACCTGGTAATTCCTTTGTTTCCTAAGATTGAGGAGGGGAGAAGGCTTGGAGTTTAGTATGCAAGCCCTGCATTTTGGGGCTTTTAGCAATTACCCACTTTAATGCTGTTGGCTTTCTTTGATGTATTTAATCTGACTTTCCTTTTATATAGATCTTTCAATGTCAATCTTCGGGCTGTGTTGCATGTCTCCCAGGTGAGAAATCTGCATTATGTTGGAAGGACCATGCTCACTTCAAAGAAATGTGGAAGCAAGTTAGCCAAAAACTTCCATTAACAAATGGAAGATTATTGTGGTTTTAAGGAAGGTGGATTTGTGGTTCCATCCTATGTGCATTTACTCAGAGGTAAATCTCCACTTCACTGTGGTTTGGTAACTGTCTTTAGATTTAATGCTGATGCCCTGGATATCATTAAATCTCGTGGTAAATGTCTGATAAATTCTCTGTTGTCATAGATTTTTGCCCAGAAACTGATTGCCAGAGGAGCACCAGGAGTTATTGTGAATGTCTCAAGCCAGTCTTCCCAACGGGCTATATTAGATCACACTGTTTATTGTGAGTATCACTGCAGGATTTCCTTTCCTGTTTCCACAGGTCAAAACTCCCAGCAGTATGCAATCAATTATTTTCAAATAATATTCAGAATAAACATTGCCTCAGGTTGTACCTATTCAAGACGGTTAGTGGCTGGAAAGTGAAGCAAAAGCAAAGAGAAGAGGAAGATTTTAATACATTTAAATTTTCTGTTTGTTTGAAGGTGCAACCAAGAGTGCCTTGGATATGCTGACAAAGTCAATGGCTCTAGAATTAGGTCCCCATAAGGTAAGACCTCTGCTTGGAGAATGAGTATAAGATGAATATCTAAAGGAGAAATAATATAGGGCAAGCAAAGCAGAGCAAACAAAAATATAACATTTTTGTCATTATATGTCTCTATATAGCTTAATATAGACCAAACATATAGAAAAAAATGGAGCCTTCCTTTGAAAGAAGCAAGTTGAGGAGGACAGAATGATGTATTTCCCTAAGAGCCAGTTGATTAAAACGTTAGCTGTTTTCATAATGAAAACACCATTCCTTAAGAGTAAGCTCATAAATCAGGGATGAATAATGTGTGATCCTTCAAATGTTGCTGAATTCCAAGTCCCATATGGCCTTGGCCAGCATGGCCACTGATGAGGGATGATGAAAGTTCTAGATTACCAATAGCGATGAGAGTTCTAGACTGTCAACAGTTCTAGACCATTCACATTGGCCACCCCTTCCTTAAAGCTAGAGTCTGTGTCTGCTGGGTGCTTAGTCTAACCATGCACTCACTCCCTATTGCCTTTTCTTTGCTTTTCAAGATTCGGGTAAATTGTGTGAACCCCACAGTTGTCATGACAGACATGGGACGTCTCAACTGGAGGGATCCCCAGAAAGCTGGATCTATGCTTAGCCGCATCCCCCTGGGAAAATTTGCAGGTAATTTGGAACACAGACTCCCTGAGTCAGAGGACAAGAGAGGGTCTCTGGAGACCTAGAAACATTCCAGAGGAGAAGTGCTTAGCAATAACTGAGAAACATGCAGCAGTGCTGTGGCTGCTTTAAAAGAGCCTATTCATCTGGAATGTACAAGCTTCAGATCAAAGCTTGTAGTCTCCCAGCTGTCCTACTTCTCTGAGAGTGAGGCTGAAACAGATTACATTTCTGATGTGGAGAAGAACTCTCCCTGTTCCTTACATGCCAAGCCCTAGCCATTTTAGATAACGGTAATGAAGTGTTCCCCTTAGGAAAGTGTGGTTTTCTCTTTTCGTGCCATTAATCTCTGGGACCATATCACCTCAATTCTCTCTCTTATCAGAATCACACCAAATACAGTGGGGCAAAAAAGTATTTAGTCAGCCATCAATTGTGCACGTTCTCCCACTTAAAAAGATGAGAGAAGCCTGTAATTTTCATCATAGGTATACCTCAACTATGAGAGACAAAATGGGGGAAAAAATCCAGAAAATCACATTGTCTGATTTTTAAAGAATTTATTTGCAAATCATGGTGGAAAATAAGTATTTGGTCAGACAATGTGATTTTCTGGATTTTTTCCCCCATTTTGTCTTTCATAGTTGAGGTATACCTATGATGAAGACAATGTGATTTTCTGGATTTTTTCCCCCATTTTGTCTTTCATAGTTGAGGTATACCTATGATGAAGACAATGTGATTTTCTGGATTTTTTCCCCCATTTTGTCTTTCATAGTTGAGGTATACCTATGATGAAGACAATGTGATTTTCTGGATTTTTTCCCCCATTTTGTCTTTCATAGTTGAGGTATACCTATGATGAAGACAATGTGATTTTCTGGATTTTTTCCCCCATTTTGTCTTTCATAGTTGAGGTATACCTATGATGAAGACAATGTGATTTTCTGGATTTTTTCCCCCATTTTGTCTTTCATAGTTGAGGTATACCTATGATGAAGACAATGTGATTTTCTGGATTTTTTCCCCCATTTTGTCTTTCATAGTTGAGGTATACCTATGATGAAGACAATGTGATTTTCTGGATTTTTTCCCCCATTTTGTCTTTCATAGTTGAGGTATACCTATGATGAAGACAATGTGATTTTCTGGATTTTTTCCCCCATTTTGTCTTTCATAGTTGAGGTATACCTATGATGAAGACAATGTGATTTTCTGGATTTTTTCCCCCATTTTGTCTTTCATAGTTGAGGTATACCTATGATGAAGACAATGTGATTTTCTGGATTTTTTCCCCCATTTTGTCTTTCATAGTTGAGGTATACCTATGATGAAGGAGAACTTGCACAATTGGTGGCTGACTAAATACTTTTTTGCCCCACTGTACAGGCATATTAACAACAACAAAAATCTTACATCTAGTTCTGTGAAAATGTATGAATTAATTGCTAGAGAAAGTAGTCTGGGATGGGGTATTGCTGGCTGGATAAGGTAAGACTAGGGAGTACCATTTGGTTAGGAAGGAATTTCCCATTCCCAAGTCTCTGAAAGACCTGAAGGATTCTACTGCTTTTACTGCCTTCAGAATTGCTTTCAGCCATCCTTCATGCATCTATCCTTACAGAAGTGGATGATGTGGTAAATGGCATTCTGTTCTTGTTGAGCGACCAAAGCAACATGACCACTGGTGCCATGCTGCCCATTGATGGAGGATTCCTCTCCTGCTAGAATACCATCCTGGGTAAATTCCTTGGGGATGAATATCTACTCTGTGTGATTTATCCTGTTCAGTCATTCTGAAAATACTGAAGAATCATGAAATGGAACAATTTGATTGATTAATTGATAAATAAAAATAAAAAATAGTAAAAAAGAATTTAACTTGTTACTGCAATCAGTGGGAAAAGGGATAATGAAATGTTCAACTGATAACTCTAAAACAACCACACTACCTTACTTATGGAGAAATGTTTATTGTATAAAATAAGAGGTGTTCAGCTCATCACTCTACACGATGATTAAAAACTGGACCCGTCTCCATCCAAATCCCTCAAAGCTCTCTCTACCCCAACCCCCGGTCCATTATCCCTGACAAAAGGAGTCAGTTGTCATCCTTCCTGCATCTTTTTCAATCCTACAGAAAGATTCCTCTTAGGTGGCCCTCTTCTGCAGAGGCTGGACAAGGTAAAGAGACCTTCCTCTTCCCCATCTTTAGGGGAATTTGATGATCAGTCGAACCACTCAGGAGCAGCTTATAGGCTGATGGCCTGAAAGGCAATGATAGCTTTGAATAGCACAAGAGTGGCCCTGACCATTGCTTAGCTAGTGTCCCACTTCATAAAGCACAAATGGCTTGTTCTTCAACCTGTGTCTCATTTGTCTTTCCTGCCGCACCTGGGGTTAATTATATACTCCCACCACAATGCTCTAGCACCAAGAGTAGTAGTAAGAAAAGGCTGTTCCTTTCATTCATGAATTATGTCCTAGCAGAGAGTCATGGAGAGCATGTTTGTTGCTTGGCTCCGCCTTGGGGGTGGGACAGCACCGAGCTCCTCTTTTTCTCATGCGGCCCTTTTACATCAACACGTTAAATTAAAGAGACATTTAAAAAACACTGACTTCATACATGATGAGGGACCCCGCCATTCCCCTTGTGGGAACACCCAACAAACTCTTCCTCCTCAGACACTAGGAGGAGTCATCCATAACACATGGAACTCAGCAATGCTCTAGAACACAGTGCATTTCTTGCCAGGCTTCTTCACAGGTGGAGGACAGAGCACAGCACGGATGGCTTCATCAAAGACAGTCTTGAGGCCTCTCTGGGTAAGGGCAGAGCATTCTAGATACTTCACTGAACCTGTAGGGAGAGGGCATAAATGAACTGGGAACTATGCTTTTCTTCTTTCTTAAGAATTCATCGGATTATTGAGCTTTATTGTTTCATTTTAAAAAAAGGTATCTCATGACAAAGACGATAGCAGGAAGCCCTTGAACATTCTGTTCTTTCTCTAGACTGTAGTGATCCAGCTGTGCTGGGGGTGGTCTGGCAGTTTTCTGGAAAGATATCTTCTAGAATAGGAAATAGTTCGTGGTTTACTCCCAGAAAACTGCTGGACCACCTCAGAATGGCTGAATTAGTGTGGTCTGAAGAAAAACAAAGATGAATTTGGAACTTCCTAGGTCCTATCTCTGGAAAGATGTTCTGAACTTCACTATCAGATACAATTCTCATTTTCCTCAGCTCCTTTTGTCCTTCTAGCCCACTTACTGGAGGATGAATAATTGAATCTTGAAAGCTTGCAGCAATTATCATAATGGATCCCATCCCTTCCCTTCCCTTCCCTTCCCTTCCCTTCCCTTCCCTTCCCTTCCCTACGACCAGTATAGCTACCATTAGTTTTTAAAATAAAAGATGCTCTTTAATCTAACAGCAGAGGAAATGTTCCACCCCTCTGTAATTCACAGCTCCCTTCTCTATCTCAGAAGTGGGCAGCTGTTTTTTTGGAGGAGAAGAATGCAATGTGCAAGCGAAATTCTCACATCATGGAATTGGAAGATAACATCTTTCCCTGTTTGGGAAGAGAATGGTAAAAGAATTTCTTTACAGTTTAAGTTGAGTCACCTTAAACTATAGTTGTGTTTTCCAGCTCAATGGAACGGGAATTCAACTACCACTTTTCAGCAAACATGCCACCAATATTTAACAAGATGGGAGCTCTGAGGGCTGCAAAAAAGGGAATTAGGAGCTGCATGGCCCACTCCTGCTCTAGTTTCTCCTTCCAAGACTCACCAATCTCCCTGGCCATGGCTAGACCTTGGGGATAGGTAATGGGAGCCAATTTCTTATCACGCAGCCGTTCTATGGTGTCCTTGTCATCTCTCAGATCTAGCTTGGTGCCCACCAAGATGATTGGTGTGTTAGGGCAATGATGTCGGACTTCTGGGTACCACTAAAAATAAGACAGAACAGTGAATACATTTGGTAACTAATGTAAGAAATGGGTGCAGTAGTAGGATAATGGTTTTAGGTCAAATAATCATTTCCTGCATTTTGGCTGACCAAAACCTGGCTATCCTTAGAAAGAGAGGGAAGATGGAGGCTACTCCATATAAAATTTATTTACTTTTACATCTCTATTTGAGGCATAATTTGGATTAATCAGCAAAAAGGAAAATACCCTTTGTTAATCAGTAGCAAGGATGTAACTAACAATCCCTCCTTAGCAAGATAATTTTCAATGTGAAATAATATTACCTTGGCGCGGACATTTTCAAAGGATGCAGGGCTCACCAGTGAGAAGCAGATTAGGAAAACATCCTATAAGGATATGAACATCAGTGTTCATATGAAATAGTCAAGGTTGCCAACTTTTTCTTTCACACTATAGTAAATCTTGGATTTCCCACCCACCCAATATCAAAACCTGAAATCCCAGGTTTTATAAAACAGACATGTCAGGTCAACTTGACATTAAATTGGCTGTAACTGATATTATTCAGATCTGGTTCTTATGAAGTATGGAACGGGTGAAGTGTATGGCTTGCAGAAACAGGTCCTATTGGGAAAAGGAGGGACCCAGTTCAGCTCCACTTCAGCACTTACCGTCTGGGGATAGGAAAGAGGTCGCAATCGGTCATAGTCTTCTTGTCCTGCTGTGTCCCAAAGGCCCAGATTTACTGGCTTTCCATCTACCATGACATTGGCAGAATAGTTATCAAATCTAGGGGTAGAGGGTCTCGTCAGCATTGGTTAAGTCAGATAAATACATTCTCAAGATAACTTCTCTTTTCTCAATTACTAAAAGTCACTAAGCTCTACTTTAATAAAAGTATTTCCTTTATCACTTTTGCTTATTAAACTCCCAGCACAACTTCTACTGCATAAACAATAAACAATCAAGATTGAGGTCTAGTAAAAATATGGTTTTCTCCATTTCTGTATTATGCAAGCTGCTTACACAGTGGTCTTTTCTGAATGCTTTTTGTATTTCTGTTCTTTTTGTTTTTTATAGTAAGCTAGCACTATATGGACTTTAAAAAAAACTCTTCAGAGACAATAATTGACCACTAACAGACTATTTGACAGCAGTCCCACTGTGGAACAAATAGAAAACCAGAACCAGTGAGCAGAAAACTTAATTAATATTGGACTGAAGGGGACCTTAGATAAGTTTTACAAAAATATTGGCCACAGGATTAGGCAGTGCTGGGTAATTCAGTGATACATTAAATGCTTTGTGAAAAGACAGCTTTCAGCTGACTACAGAAAAGCAGTGTCTTACTAGTGCCAATGGGTTCAACCTTAGTTAATCTGTATATTATACACCAAAAAGTTATACAAGAACATACATATGGAGATGTACAAGCCTTGAAAAGATCCCTTTCTCTGAACCTTGGGTTCTCCTAGCATGAAGGCAGCTAAAACAAGAAAATAGTCTGGATTTTGTAAATGATTATTTTGTAAAAGTTTTTTGAGGGCAATCCAGGAATAACTATACCCAGCATGGGTTATGTCACACAATAATAGTTTCACACTACATGTCTGTACACAAAATAATGTGAAATCCTCAAGCATCTCATCTTCTACAGTGATTACACAAGGACGCTTTATGCATATGTGAACATACACTATGGAAGAGTGGCTCATCTTGACTTCTTGGTGGATGTATATGCTTAGTTAAGTCCCATGCAAAACTCTTGAGCATGATTTTAGTATACTATTTCTCTATACAGACTTGGTCACACTTGAAAGGCCCCTTGGTTTATCCAATTCTTTAGTATCCAGTATCTCAAAATCCTAGTACGAGAACAGTTCAAACCACTGTGTTTTTGCATTTATCTTATCCCATGATTGTCTGGAACCTAAGCTTTCTCCCACAGTACTCACACAGTGGGGATGTATTCTCCAGGGAAGGCATTTGTCGTGTAACTGATCAACAGACAGGTCTTCCCCACAGCCCTGAGAACATGAAAGCAGAAACAGTAAGCACAAATACAGTAAGATAATAAGTCCCAGAGCTTGGAGAAGAAACAGATATGCTCTATTACTCTAAACCTCAGGTTACTAACCCAGGTTTCTTTGCATCCCATACATAGAAAGCACATCTAAATATCATCATCATCGTCATCTAGTCTCAATGTGGTATTCTTGAGTATTGGATCCTTCCCAAGAATCTAGGATAGCTAAAGACATCATTATAATATATGTGTTGTTCCAAGTAATGCAACTTTTTGTAATAGATGATGAAGTGTATTTTGCGGAGATTCTTCCAACAAACTCATTAACACCTACTATTTAAATTACCAGGGTACAATCAGATTAAAAATCAGAGGAGTGAAATGCAATATTCAAATTCTGAATTATTAATCCCAAGAACACCTTAATGTTAACTTCGTTTCGTCGTATATACTAGAAGGCAACCTTATCTTCTGCATGTTCAAGAGCTGTTCTTAATATGTCCTGGAAGAGCCAATAATTCAACCAGTAGATATCCACTTTTGGCCCAATTATAATGTCAACCATATGCTGGCAAGTGAGGGTGGTATTTGAGTTAGGGAGGAAAACACTGATGGAACACCATACTTCTTAAGATGAGAATGCTTCTGGAATAACTATTCAGAAGGTAGTAAACATATTACTCCCTGCTATCTATCTCTCAATGCTTCCTCAGGTATTAATGCTGTTTCTACAGACTGATTATCTTGAGATCAGCACCAGCATTTTTAGCAAACCAAAGTATAAGAAGGGGGGGGTGTCTAATTCTTAAATTTGCTCTCACTTCCAATTTTTAACCATGGATATGTTTTTGAGATTCATGATGTGAACCATAATTTAGAGGATTTCCCCTTGTTAATTGTGTGGCACTTATAAAGTACGTTCTAAGTATTCAAAATAAGGCCCATATATTCCCATATATTACATACCAGTGCAATGCAGTGGTTTGGGTGGTAGACAGGCACTGGGAAGACCCTGGTTCAAGCCCCCAACCCCCACCCCAGCAGCTCTCTGGGTGACTTTGGGCCAGTTAGTCTCTCTTAGCCCAACCTACCTCACAGGGTTGTTGCAGTGGGGGAAAATGGGAGGGGGGGTCTATGTACACTCCTGAGTTTCTGAATGAAACAACTTAGAACATACAAGTATCATAAAAGCATGAAGGTAATTTCATATCGGGGCAGTGTGCCTGAACTAGTGGGCAGTGAGAACAGGTGCCTGCCACAAAGTAGACGGGTGTGTGATGTGTTTGGGACCAGATCTGCTGTGCCAAAAGAACACACTAGATATTGAGTTCAGAAGATACTTGAACAGTAGTTCACAGCTTTATTATTTAATGCATCCTTACAGCGAAAAGCTAAAGCTGTTATCTCTTTCCCCCCTCAAAATAAGCCTACTATATAGAATTCAACCACACTGAGACATGTCAGGCTTACCTGTGACTGCTTGGCTTTCGCTTAATGTTTATGAACCCAAACATGATTTGTAGATCATAGTCAATGGCTTATCCAATAAACCACAATTAAGCACAATCCAACAATCAAATTATCCAACAAACCATGATTAAGCAGATCATTGCTTTGCATGATGCATGAACCAGACTAGTGACTACCCCAGAAAGCTTAATCAGCAAGGATTTAAAGCTCAAGACTCAGCATACATAGCAATTCTCCCTCCCACCAA